CAGCACCTGCTTTTGGGCCTAAGCCCCTGCAGGGCCCCTTCTTTAGAGAAAGGTTGCTCGATATGTCCCACATAATAGAGACATGTCATGCCTTGGCTCCATACAGAGAGCGTGTAGGCGTGCTGCTGGGTTGAAGAATGGTTCTCAGACACAGTAGCGAGTTTAAGGGTCCCCTGTTCCGCTTTCTAGAAATTTGGATTTTTTTTATTGCATAGCCGTCAAAATATGTGTTTTGTATGAGTGTATTTATTAGAGTGAATGGGAGGGGCTGATGGTGGAATAGCATCCCCATCAGCCCTCAAGCTGTGTTGCTGGTGGAATATTTATAAAAAAAAGTACCCATCAACCCCAATTAGATTAGTTTCTTATTGTATCCAGGTGATGGAGGAATATTGAGTACTCCATCTACTACATAGAATGAATGAAATGTATATAAGTGTGAAAGTATTTATTTGTGTGAATGCGTATTGAATGTATGTTGTTATATTTCGCATGCGCTCAGGGCTGAAATGACCAAGCTGTCAGTTGCCCCTTTTAAAAAAAGAAAAAAATTCTTAATTATAATATGTTTTTTAAATATTTTTTTGTTGCTTTTAACTTTTACATTATTTCATAGTTTCAATGAATTTTTAATGTTTTAATCCCAACGTTTTTAATGATCAATACAACCTTTATTTATTTTGTATTTTAAATATCTAATTTAGCCCTGACTCTAGGAGGAAAGCACATTAGGGTCAAAAATAATCTTAGCAAAACTTACTAAATGTATATTTATGCGAGTTTGTTAGGTTTGTATGTTGTCTGTTACTATCACAAAAAATGAATACCTTTACGGTCATCCGTTGACCACCAGTACCGTTGGAGCAAACAACCTAACTTAAATTACTGGAAACATATAAGAAAAGTGTCACAACTCAAAAAAGGGGTTGTTTTTTAGGGGTAGATTAGCTGGAATTTTATGCTTTAGCGTTTTCGCTTAAGTCTTGGAGAAACGAAAGGCAATATTGATGGATCATGACAGTTTTTATTGCCAGCAACTGTACTGGTTGTTTTAATTACAAAAATTACAACTGTAATTTTTTTAAACTTAATATATAAGTTTTAAAAAAAATTAAAATAAAATAAATAAACTTCCATTTGTCTTTCTTGTAAAATTTTGTTTTGTTAAGTTGTGTCCTTGTCTTGTGCTATATATAATGTTTTATTTACCAAATTACAGGCTCTATTTCTTTATTGCTGAGATTTTGTCGATTTTCTCCATTAGTTGACAAATCTGACTCATTGCTATATATATTCTTCAATTTTCTTTTTAATACCTGACACAATTTCTTTACAGTTATTATAACAAAATAAATTCTTCCTTAGGTGAAAAGTAATTGAACAAAAATTGACTTTTTTTGCATTTCCTAAAATTTTGGAACACCTCGTTATTTTTTCATTTATTTTTGAGCTTCAGGGTTGATGCTTTTGTGGTTTGCTCATTTTTCTCTATTTGTCTCTTTCTAATTGAAAGCCTTTTTTTCCTCAAAACAAATCTTTATTGTGCTTGGATGGATCAATGAAAAGTGATTAAGTTTAAGTAAGGCCAACTCATGAAATTCATAGTTGATTCTGACATTTATTCGACACTGTAAATGTCCAAGTCACTTATTCAATCGTTTAACTGTAATTTAGCAGTCCAATTGTTGTAAAAGAATATTTTTTTGCGCTGTTCGTCATGAAAAGGGCCAGGGCGCTTTTCAAATCGATCCGGGTGAAGAGTGAGGATAGTTTTCATTATGTAGACCTAAAAAGGGTGTTCCTTCTGCCAAGAATCTTCTTATTCCACCCTGTCGGCAGTTTGAAATTGTCCCCGGCTTGTTCTTTGCTCAGGTTCGTCTACTTTCTGACTCTACTGGGCTCTTCCTTGGGCTACCAGTTTGTGCAGTATTACAAAGTGAAGAAGAACATGTATATCTTCGATTCACTTCTTTTCGTCATGTTCTCCGTCGTGAACGCGACGACTTTCATCTGCCTGTTCCATTACTACTACAAATTCAGTAGCATTATGAAAATCATAAATCAGACAAATCAAATTATAACGGTTTTAAACAGTATGGGCTTAAAGCTCGCTTTCCAGTACAGTTCCTTAAATATAAAAATCTTTCTTTTTATAGTTTCCAACACAGCCCAGTTCGTTTGTCAAGGTCTGCTCTATGGCTATTTCACAAATATTTCCATACTGGTATACACGTTTTATTACAATGTGACACTCGTCAATATAGTGGGATCTGTTTTTTTGATGATGGCGGATGTTTTGAAAAACGTGTTCGCCTCGTTGTCGAAAAGCGTGTCCCGGGTGGAATACGGCGTTTTGAAGATGGCCGTCGGACTTCACCACAAGGCGGTTGGGGTGACGAGAGAGATGAACGAAGTCTTCACGGTTCAACTGACGATGATAGTCACTTCGGACTTCATCGTGTCGACTATCTGCTTGTACATGGCGTGCATGGACCAGCGAGACTCGCTCGGTTTAGCGCTCAACGTCTGCTGGGCAGCAACGCGAATCCTTTACGTTTGGTTATTAGTGCACGCATGTGAAAAAGTAGCAGTGGAGGTAATTCCATCAAAATTAAAAATTAAATTTGTAGCGTTCAGCTGAAAATTCTTGATTCCGTACTGAAAACCGCACCCCTAATCGCCCTATTGAAACACCATTACAATTTTCTAAATTTCCAACACTTACAACCTCTAATCTCACGAAGTCACCCCTAATCAAACCAAACTAACATTACCATCACTACCTATCAAAATCGTTTGGAGAGTTTGCTCCTTTCTACTTTCACTATTTCTACTCAACTATAACCATCAAAATCTCTCACCAAACATAACAACACTTTTAACCCATCCCAATTATCTCTAACTAAACACGACCACAACCATCTTTACCCATCCAAAACCATATTTAACCAAACCTGATCATAATTATATTTACCCATCCCAAAGTATCTCTAACCAAACCAAACCAACACATAACTAAAAGCATCTATAACCAAACCTGACCATAAACTCATCCAAAACTATCTCTAATCACACCTGACCGCAACCATCTTTCCCAATCCAACACTATTTTTAAACAAACTTGATGGTAATTATCAACGAAACCAAAACCTCTTTAACCAAACCTGATCGTAATTATATTTATGCATCCAAAAACATCTAAAATTAAACCTGACAATAAACATCTCCACCCATCCAAGGCTATCTCTAACCAACCCTGACCACAACCAACTTTACCAATCCAAAACCAATTTTGACTAAACTTGATCGCAATTATCTCAACGCATCCAAATCCTTTTTAATCATACCTTATCGTAAACATTTACCCATCCAAAAGTATATCTTACCAAACCTGATACTAATAATACTTAACCGTCTATAAACAAACTTGACCATAAACATCAGCCCATGCAAAAGTATCTAACCAAACCTGACTACAACCATCTTTACTAATCCAAAACCACTTTTAACCAAACTTGATTGTAATTATCTCCACGCATCCAAAACCTCTTTAACCAAACCTGATCGTAATTATATTAACCTTTCCAAAACTATCTTCTACCAAACTTGATCGTAATTATATTTACCCATGCAATAACATCTCTAACCAAACTTAATCATAAACATCTCTATTCATCCAAAACTATCTCTAACCAAACCTGATTGTAATTATCTCAACATATATAAAACCATCTCTAGCTAAACCTGATCATAATTATGTTTACATATCCAAAAGCATCTATAATCAAATCTAACCAAAACCATCTCTAACTAAACCTAATTGTCATTATCAGAACATATTTGAAACCAATTCTAACCGAACCTGAACATAATTATATTTACGCATCCAAACGTACCTCTAGCCAAACCTGATCACAACTATCTCTACCCATCCAAAACCACCTACAACTAAACGTGATCGTAATTATCTTTACCCATCCAAAAGCATCTTTAATCAAACTTGATCATAAACATCTCTACTTATCCAAAAACATGTCTAATGAAACCTGATCTCTACACGCCAAAACTATCTCTAACAAAACCTGATTGTAATTATCTCAACCTTTTTAATCGTTTCTAGCCATTACTGCATATTTATTAGCCAAATAGCCATAACAATCTCAAAATATTTCCAGCTATAACCTTCTCTAATCATCTAAAAACATCTGTAACCAAAGCTGTTTGCAATCATCTCTACACATCCAAAACTTGAGGATAAAAATAATGTCTAATTGAAGCATATAATTTTAAAAGTGTCTTTCACGTCATCTATAACCATTTCCAGTTATATTAGTCTAATAAAATATTTTGTACTGTTTAAACATTTATGATGAGTTTTGCCATCTAGTCAATATTCTGCTTGTTGTATCTTGTACATGAAACTTAATTAAAAAACTGGTTTCTTTGTAGGCCGAAAGGTTCAGCTGGAATATCGGAAATCTGATAGTTTCTCCAGCAAGATGGGAACCATTCATTTATGTGAGTTTTCAAATCTTCAGTAACTTGTTTAAATGGAATTTGAACTTTTTTTTATTGTCATTTTTAGAGACTGTCTTACCGCCATTTACTGTCGAAAGAGAAAGTCGTGTTCGACGCATGCGGTCTCTTCGTTTTGGATTTCACCCTCATCCACTCTGTAATGAAAACACATATTTTATTTTTGCCTGTTGTCTATTTTTAAAAACGCTACTGGGACTTTTTTATTTTTCAGATGGTGGCTGCAATGGCGACCTATTTGGTCATACTCATTCAATTACAAAACAACAGCAATTAGTACCAGTAAAAAAAATTACCGTGCATTGGTGTCATATCAGATTTCATACATATACCATGTAACCAACTGACAAATACACTGACTTTCAACTAAGAACATAATTAAATAAACTTACACAAATAACATTGTTTTTAAATTTTATTTAAATTTATAAACTATTTAATTGTGAAATTTAATTGTTGCTGTGTGTTCCCATTTCATTTTATGCCACTTTTTAATTTGATTTCTATCATTTTTTAACTTTTTTTCATTTGCAACAATATCGTCAAATAAGCCCAACTTCCGGTTAACATCTGGAAAAAACTTTTCTATTAATTTCTAGTTTGTTGATTCTTCACCGGATGCGTACAGCATGCAGCAGTGGATAGTCAACTTTGAACAAGGCGCAAGCGTCGAAAGTCACCCTGTCCTTCTTGCTGAAGTGGAGTGAAAACAGGTTCTGCAAAACGATCCGAAACCAAAATTAATCGCAGAGTTGTTAAAGTGAAATACCTACTGATAATTTTCCCAGTGTCGACTTTCTAGTGATCAACTGCAAGCCGATTTGCTTGTTACATGACTCAACCTGTCAAAAAAAAAATCGTCTTTAAAAATTTTACATTAGTATATTTATGATATTTCTATATGATGACTTCGGACTGATGAGCCTGCAGTTTGTTCGTTTCCAATCACAGCGGTCTGACTATCCTTATATTTAAATCAGTTGGGTAATCACCCCTAACGATCTATAAGACTACTTAACTATTGTCACCGCCTACGATACCGTGAAAAGCATTGTGTCAACCACTCCTAGCAAAAACGTGCAAGGCTGATCTTTGTTGCCTCTCCTTTTCTTGAAATCACTATGCTACCCAGCCTTCCAAAAATTCTCTCCTGCACCATCATTCTATTCCACGAGTCTAAATCCGACAGAAGAAAATGAGGACAGAAGAATATGATTAGGTGCTAGGAGGTAAGACAGGGAGTCGTGAGGTTATGCTATTATCTTTTTCAATTTTCCCCTCTTCTAAACAAACCACAAATCCTACACAGTCGTCTAGAAATTATCCATTTATAGGACGACTAGTAAAACATCCATAAACTGTCTCTTTCCAAATTAAACATCCTTAACCATCTCTATTGATGTTTAACTATCACCAACAATATCTATCCATGTTTAAGAATCGCTAATCTTCCCTATCAATATTTCATATCACTAATTAAATACCATATAAAACCAACCATAACCATCTCTATTAATGATTATCTGTCACTAACCATCTTTATTCAAATTTAACAATGGCTAGCCATCTCTATCAATATTTAACAAACACTTACCACCTCTATGTGTGTATATATATAATAACCATAACCATTTCTACCAATATTTAACTATCTCTAACAATATTTATTTGTCTGTTTCCATTTTTAACTATCCCTATCCTATAAAACCATCCATAACCATATCTGTTAATGTTTAACTCTCACTAACCATCTCTATCCAAATTTAACAATCGCTAATCATCTCTATCCATATTTCATAAACACGTACCACCACTATCCATTGTAAATTATCCATAACCATCTCTATTAAAATCTAACTATTACTATCTCTAATCATTAACCACCTCTATCCATATTAAACCATCCATAACTATCTCTATTAATATTTAACTCCCACTAATCTTCTTTATCTATATTTAACAATTACTAATCACCTCTATCGATATTTAACAAACACTTAACACCTCTATCCCTTTAAAAACATCCATAACCATCTCTATTGATGTTTAACTATAACTACTTCTAATCAAATTATCCATCTCTATCCCATATGAAATCGCTAATCTCCTCTATCAATATTACACATCACTAATTAAATACCATATAAAACCATCCATAACCATCTCTATTAATGTTTAATTGTCACTAACCATCTCTATTGAAATTTAACAATCGCTAGTCATCTCTATCAATACTAAACCCTTACCACCTCTAACCATTTAAAAAAAACCATAACCATCTCTATTAGTATTTATCTATGCTAACTATCTTTAACCATATTTATTTGTCTGTTTCCATTTTTAATTATCTTCATCCTATAAAACCATCCATAACCATCTCTATTAATGTTTAACTGTCATTAACCATCTCTATTCAAATTTAACAATTCCTAATCATCTCTATCAATATTTCGCATCACTAATTATATCTATCCATATTTAAACATCTCTATCCATATTAAACCATCCATAACCATCTGTACTAATGTTTAACTCTCACTAATCATTTCTAACCATAATCACTATCCATAGTAAACCATCCATAACCTGTGCTATTAATGTTTAACTGTCTCTAATCACCTTTATCCATATTTAACAATCGCTAATCATCACTATCGATATTTAACAAGCACTTACCACCTCTATCCATTTTAAAACATTCATATCCATCTCTATCAATATTTGACTATCACCAACCATCTCTTTCCACATGTAACAATCGCTAATCATCTCTAACAATATTTCACATCATTAATTATATCTCTCCATATTAAACCATTTCTAAACTGTCTCTTTTCGTATTTAACCATTTCTATCCATATAATACCATCCATAACCATCTTTATTAATGTTTAACTCTCACTAATCATCTCTAACCATATTTAACCATTTCTATTAATTATATCTCTCCATATTAAACCATTTCTAAACTGTCTCTTTTCGTATTTAACCATTTCTATCCATATAATACCATCCATAACCATCTTTATTAATGTTTAACTCTCACTAATCATCTCTAACCATATTTAACCATTTCTATCCATATAATACCATCCATAACCATCTTTATTAATGTTTAACTCTTACTAATCATCTCTAACAATATTTAACCATCTCTATCCATATTAAACTATCTGTAAACATCTACATTAATGTTTGCCCATCTTTATCCATATTTAACTATCACTACATACATCCATCGTAGTCTACAGTTATAACTGTATACAACCGACCCTAGTAATTCCCATTTTTCTTAAATAACAAATAGACATCCCTCTCAACCTCCTCAAACTAAGATGATAGCTTGAGTTCCACCATACACCATTTTAAAACAAAATTAACCATCTGTAACAAGCGCGAAATCGGAAACGCGGCTGGCATTCCAAAATATAACAGAAACGACCAAACTACAGGCCCGACACTGTGCAGAGCGTGCCTTTGAAGGTTCGGTTGAAAGAACACTAACCTCATTCTGTACTTTTTCACATGAATGAATGACAAACCAAGTTGTCGCCACCCTCACCAGACACCAGAACGAACGGTATAAACCCAATAGGATATCTCCAGTCAGGAAATCTGTAATCGCTAAATAGGTAATGATCAGAAGGGTCAATAAGGTGTTGGCCAATTCGAAGAGAAACACCAATGTGAAAATATCGTTCAATGATTTCAAAAGCTCGATCATTTCGTGGTATTTCTTCAGCACGGTATGGAGGTTGTCATTCGAACTCAGTTCGCACGAACGGTTTATACTGTCCTTAATACTGGCATAATTAGCTTCGATGATGCTCGTAAAACAGGAAAACTCGGTAAAAGCGATTACACCTAGATATTCTGCTACGTAGGACATGATTGTTTTCATACCCTTTCTGCGATCTAACGCAATCGCCTGGTATAAAAACTCAAGAAAAAGAGACGAAGAAAACAATAAAAAGCAACGTTTTGTATATTTCAAATCGTATTTAGGTACGATGCTCATTTTTAACAGGTCCACTTCGATTCTAGAAAGTTCAGACTGTAACGCACCTAGTTCTTTTCTTCTCAGGACGATTGGTACGAAAGTGCTGAGGGAGGACACGTACACGCTCGTGTTGTGCACTTGTTCCAGTAATCTGTTGTTTTTCAAGTCGGAAATTCCGATTGAACTAAGATAAAAAAGTAAAGGGGACGTGCTGGCGATTGTGTGCCATGTCCAGAACAGGGCCGAGAAGGCGCAGGATGTCTTCGAAAAGCCGAATTCATAGTCGTAAGGGTGGAGAGAAAAACGATTGTAAATGATTGAAAGGAAGCGAATTTTTTCGCCTAGAACGGGAAAAGCCATGGTCATCACTGACATGTCATTCAAAACGATTCGGCAATTCGATCAAAATTGATAGCGAGGGAATAATATTTAAGATTATTTAAATATTAAATAAATTGCCTTCAAAGCTATTTGTTTTCTAATTCGATTAAAAACGGATTTGGATACAAAGTGATTTATAATCGCCCTGATCGGCGATTTTGTCAATATAAACAAATTGGTCTGATTCATTTTTGAAAAATGGGCAATACTGATAAATGAATAATGTAATGTTGAGCAAAGAAGATTAACGTATTTTTTCGTCAAGTTCGTCCATAACTAACCATCCTGATCCTTCATTATCATTCATAATCTAACACAAAACCATGACCAAAATAACCCAGTGAATTATAAAAAACAAGGTAGCACGATGGACCTACTCAGGTCGAAGTGCAGAAGGACTTGTGGCCGCCCTTTTTATCCCTATCCATAGGATTAGATAATGTCTGCCGACTGGGCACTACAAGAGGCACATCTGCACATATTATCAAGAAGATTTCCTCTGGGCTAAATAGGCTGAAATCCCCTAGTAAAGAAAGCCCTGGGATATGGTAAAAGGTCTAAAGATCAACGAAAAGCCCTAGACTATGATGAATTCCACATTTGGCCAATATCGGTCGCGGTGAGCTAGGTCATAAAGATCGACTCCTAATAACCTAAGCAGGTGGGTATTGGATGTAAGAGGATAACAAAAATTAATTATCTCTGAATGACGTAAATCGATCAATCTATAACTATGGATCGCATCAGCAGAAATCATCTCTAACAATAAAAAAAAACAATGATTAAATATAATATCGGAGGATAAGATCACTATCACCATTCTTTCTTACATTCCGTCATCTATCACAAATCAATTTCATAATAAGTAAATATGAGTTTGAAATATTACCATCCCAATCTTCCATTATAATCCATCACCTACAGCAAAACCATAGCTCAAAGCATAACCATTCCTTCATTATTATCCATTATCTACCGTATGAAATAAGGATAAATATACCAGACGAAACGATCACTAACCAACTCAATTCTTCAATATAATTCGTCATCCACTATAAAGCCACGCCAAAAAATAGATAAATATAATATCAGAGGATGACCACTTCTAAAAGTATATCCAAATATGGACGAATATGAGGTCAGAGTATAACCATCACTCTCTCTTCCCTTTTAACATCCATAACCATCTGCATTAATGTTTAATTATCACCAACAATATCTACCCAAGTATAAGAATCGCTAATCTCTATCAATATTTCACATCACTAATTAAATACCATATAAAACCACCCATAACCATCTCTATTAATTATCTATCTGTGACTAACCATCTCTATTCAAATTTAACAATGGCTAGTGATCTCTATCAATATTTAAGAAACACTTACCACCTCTATCCATTTTAAAATAACCATAACCATTTCTACCAATATTTAACTATCGCTAACTATCTTTAACCAT